TCTAGCCCCTCGTCCTTAACTTACTTTCTTTCCTCTATGAACCTCTAAAGGGCTAAAGAAAATTCCGTTTCCTCGGTGCCTAGGACTGTGAGCTAATCATAGAGACCAAGCTCAAGACCACAGACGCTTGTAAACGGTGAGCAGACCGCACGTCTGCCTCCCTGACAACGCCAGACTCCGGGAGATCATCATGGCACTTCAGAGGCTTCGCTGACACCTTGCTGGAAAGAGTTCAAGAAAGAACTAATCAGGGCTGATGATGGTTCCCTCCCCCTTCGTCTTAGGAAAGGCGAGCTCTCTCCATAAGCAATGTGGGTTGCACATCTGCCCCAATGAGAGCTATTAGCATTTTCACCAACAAAACCCTAAATATCCTCGTAGGTTTGTTAACTATCATCTATTGCAAAAGGGGAGTCGCATTAGAAGCACTGCGCATTACAGGAGAGCTTCCTTGTTTTGCAAAGAAAATGTTTGGCTCGTTGCTGCCCTGACCCTCAAGATATGTCAGCCTACTTGGACATGATCAATGTAACACAACAAAATAGCATGTTCCCCCAAATTCTAAATGCCTGACAATCTTCTGCGACGTTCCCTTTGGGCAGAGGGTTTTGTCTCTTCAAAGATCTTCTCTGTACTCGTGTCCCAATTAAAGGGATGGCATTGGTGGCCTTCTTCCAGCAGCCATCGGCAGTGTGGGTAACACAGCTCCTAAAAGTATGTCAGGGCATTTTCCTTAAGAATGTCCGGGGTCCTAGTTTTTAGGGCTGCATCTCTGTAGGAACAAACTTGGGTTCCTATTTATGCTTCTAAATCCAAAGGAAGTAAAACCAACCAAGTAAACCTCATGTGATACTGCAGACCGGGAACCTCGGAATCCAGTCTCTATTGATTGGATCGTCTCTTTAGGAACCTTTCATGCCAGGAAATAATGTGGATATTGGGGTTAACGGTTAACATAAATTATAAACGACTACTCTAATCTATGTAAAGCTGCATAAACTCTTTTACTAAATCCACAATTTCATAGCTGATGAAATAAACCAGACTGACAAACCCTCTATGTTAAGCAAAGTTCAGGAATTTGGCATCAGCCTATTATTAAAGGGTTTGCCATATAAAACCAAGAAGGTGCTATGTCAGCAATATTTATCATGGCAGCCGCCTTTTGCGTTACTCTCACTCAGCCCGACAAGAACTATTGGAGAAGGGAACACAATTTACTAAAAAAGATTTTAATACTCTATTACATCTATTCTTAGGAGGTGCACTGCTCAGTAGCACGGTGGGAACTCAGCCTCTCTTTCATCAAGGAACAAAGAAAGTAACAATATAATTACAAGAGCTCTTACATTTTCACGTTAATTTGAAAATATCTAGTGTTTTCCAGGTAGGTATTCTCTTGATCTGTCTGAAAACCGGGGTGCCTGGTGTACTATAGTATTTAAGAGATGACCTGCAGGGCCACCTCCTGATAAAATATAAAACTAGTGACTGGGCCTCTGTGCCATCCTTCTCACCCCTCCACTAGTGGGGCACACAGGGAGCCAGGGAGACCAGCCTCTCTGCCCCACACACGTGCCATTCCGATTTGGATTTTTCCTGGCTGGGATATTCCACAGTTGGACATTCTTCAGAGCACAGTATTTTGATGAGTAGTGGAAATTTTAATAGTTTGTTGTTCTTGTTGTTTATAACCGCGTCTGCATTACTGCTTAACAAAAACCTTTAGGAGGTAAATGAAAACTCTGTAATCCTGTTATGAGGAAAAGAAAGAGCTGAAACAGTTGAAGTAGAATACTGATTTAAAAGTCAAAAGTCGTTTTTATTTTCACACGGGCTACATACAATTATGATCAGAATTGTATCCCATTTTGTGGTGGGAGAGGGTCTCTGGGATTTAAGATACTGCAGGAGAAGGGGATGGGGAGATCTGTTCTTTGTTCATTTCCAAAACAGAGACTGGGAAATATTCAGAAACATATAGGGGGCATTTATCATCATCATCATGTGTAGTAACCTTAATTATAATTGTAGGGTGGTAATTTTAAAATGTTTTAATTATTTGAATGACAGTTCATCATCTATGAATTTATTCTGAGGAAATATTTTGATGTCTGGAGGGGAGGTAAGTTGTAGGGACAAAGCACTGTTTATGGTGCGTGTGCATGCACACACGGAAACTATAAATGCTCACAAAATATCAGAGTGGGAAATAAATCATAATAAACGTCATGATACAATTTCATATTAAGATGCTGAAGCAGTTGTTAAAAGTATAATAACGTGATATTATTGTGTGCTATAAAGCTCAGTGGGGCCTCCAGACAGTGAACCTGGATTCGGAGAGGATTACTGCTGAGCGCTATCATTGCTGGGGTCAGATGGATGACGGCGGCAAGCAGGAAAGACCGCAAAGATGTTTAGCTGTGGTTCATTGACCATGCAAGGGCCTGCAACTGCGTGGCTCTTAACAGAGTATGGACAACATTGTGCAGAATAGAAAGTAGAGAACACAACTCGTGTTCACATAGAACCTGCACACAGATCAAGAGACTGTCTTTCAAAGTGAACAGGGACAATGGAGTGTTTCGAACTCAGGAAAGGTGTGCCTCGGGCATGTATCCTTGCACCATCCGTACTCAATATGTATGCTAAGAAGATAATTTGAGAACCTAGACTATATGAAGTAAAACACACCATTCCTATCTGAGGAAGGCTCATTAAGCTGCAAGGTGAAGATTGCGTTATCTTGCTTGCTGAGAGTGAAGAGGACTTGATAAAGATAAAAAAAATTACAGGCTTTAGGACGGATTACATATCAACATAAAGAAAAGAAAAATCCTCATAACTGGACCAATAAACAACATAATGATAAGTGAAGAAGATTGAAATTGTGAAGAATTAAATTTGATTTAGATCTGAATCAATGCCCTTGGAAGAGTCACAAAATCAAATGTGTGTTGCTTTAGACAAATCTGCTGCAAACATCCTCTTAAAGTGTAAAAGAGCAAAGTTATTACTTTGACAACTAAGGCGCACCTAACCCAAGTTATAGTATTGTCAACCACTTCTTATACATTTGAGTCATGTGGTTGGGGAGAAATATTAAACACATCACGGACTTCAAAAACAAAAACAGCCACAATCAGCTCGGTCTTGAAAGAGAACAGCTGGAACGCTCCTTAAAAGTGGGGATGGATAGACTTCCTCTCACATACGAGAACACGCCTCTCACTTGGGCTCAGACAACGGAGAGTTCGAAGAGGGCCCAGGATAGGGCAGGGTTCATTCTGTCGTCCACAGGGCATTAGGTGACTGACCAAAATCGATGCTATTAACATGAACAGGAAGAGCTTATGGTAAATTTTCTGAAACTGTCTGTAAGAATAATTTTTACTCTATTGCAAAATAAGGTTTAGTTAAAAATATATATACACACAATCCTTATGTCAAATATAAATCTACTATTCAAAGACTTGAAAGTATGATTAGAATTTAGACAATTTCCCTCATCTAAGCCATTTTCGTTAAATGAATTTTTTCAATTCAATGAATTTTATTGTGTAAAATACATCATTAGCACATTAAGAGAATTTTACAAAATTCACCATCTGCCTTATCACTGATTTCATTTTGCATATGTTCCTTTCAACTATTTTCCATGGGAATCAATAGAGCGTGATTGTTTCCTAACTTTTGGCTCCATTACCTCAAGATATATGCCACAATCAGAAAAGAACTAGATGCTTTTCTATATGCAAATCTGCAACCTGGGTCTAAACGAGGAGGAAGAACAAGCAGCTGGGTTTGCTTCTACCTGTAGATGTGGTAATTTGTATAAACCTCCCTACCACGCACCATGTGTAATAGTATCCATCCATTCCAAACATACACTCCTTAAGTAACAGCATTTTGGATTTATGCCTAGTTAAGTGATTTTCCGATCTTACTTTTGCAGCTCATAATGGCTAAAGAGGCATAGGTAGAAGTTACAGACGATACTCTAAGGATTTATTTTAAATAAACAATAAGCTGACACTAATTTGGGGAGGGGGTCTTTTCTCCTCTTCCCACAGACATTTGCTTAGCACCTCAGCGGCCACCTTGGAGAGCTGGATGATATTAAGATCAAATTTCAATGCTGGGAATGATGGAGCAGAAATCAAAGCGGTATGGATTCCTGCCAACTTTGCCAAGAGGGTCTGCATCCTCTGGTTTATTGTGAGTCCTTCTTAATATCGGGTGAACACAATTCCTAAAAATAAAACCTTTTTTTTCTTATCCCTTCAGAGATAAAATACAAACTGAACTTACACATTATCCTGGATAAACATAGCTCAAATCAAAAGTCATGGATTGGATGTTATTTCTTCATCTACAGTTGATTTACTTTCAATGGAAAGAGAGGATTGTTCATTGTATGGTGCAGTGATTGTGCATTGGGATTCTCAAGCTCAGCAGTTCAAAACCACTAGCTGCTCCTCTGGAGAAAGACAGGGCTGTCTACTCAAAGAGTTATAGTATCCCAAACTCACAGGAGCAGCTCTACCCGGCCTAAAGGGGTTGCTATAAGTTGGTATGGACTTGAAGGCAGCAAGTTTATTTTTTGGTTTTAGGATAGGTCAGTTTATAACTGGATATTTGAATGATCAATTAAGGAGGCTGAATAATTTTGGTGCAAAAGACACAGCAAATTCCAGTGTTGGGCTAGAAAGGGGGCGTGTTGGTCACATGGCTTGAATTGTTTGAGGGCCTCTATTGCTGGCCCTTTTCCTTAGCTTGCTAAAAGAAGGGAGCTGGGCAGCTCTTGTTATCCAAGGATTACAGTGAGCCTTGGCTAGACCCGGCTGCAGGAAGTTATTCCAGGTGAAATATTTCAGGTCTCCTTAGATTGTTACCTAAGCCCAGATGTATACTCAAGATGGCTATAAATGCTTCAGTTCTTCTTACACTTGCAATTGAGTGCAATGCCTCCTTCTTGAGACATCCTTTGATCTTACCTGCCATTGACGACACTCTTTTTCTCTAGCCCACTGGGGAGAACCACAGTGATGTCCACTGTACTGTTATGCAGGTTTTCTTTCATGTTGATCAGGTTCTGTTGAGGGCTGAGGCCCAAGTCTCTGCTAGGTTTCCGTTCACCAGGAACATCCACAGGGTCAGGTTTTCCAGGAGGGGGTGGGGCCCGAGCCTTCATCTTCCTCCTTAAAAAGGAACAACAGACAGATTGAGTCAAATGGCAGTTTTCAACATAAAATGTGCTATGATTACCTAATAATCAGAGTTTTTTTCAGTAACTTCATTATAAGTATTTTTAGAAGTGCTTCGCTCTCTTCTGAAATGCGTGACCTTTAAAAAATCAGCACACCTGCATTCCTCTATGCTAGCAAAAAATTTCAAATATCATACCCTTTCTGAACAAATAAGCAAAGAAAGCATTTTTGAAAGATCCAGAAAGAAACATCCCAGAAGCATACTTGCAATTAAGAGTGGCACTATCATATTTTTTAGAAATCTCTGATCAATATGTCCGCCGATTACATGCGCTCAGCAGTTCAAGCCCACCAGTTGCTTTTAGGAGAAAGAGAGGCTGTCCACTCCCATCAAGGTCTACAGCCTCAGAATCTCTAGAGTCATCACAAGTCAGAATCAACATAAGAACAATGGATGGGATCGAGATAATGGTTGTTAGAACAGAACTTGATCTACACAGTCCCTTCTGAATCACTGGGTAGGCTATAAATCACCAGTACAAATCCAATTAAGTGGATTCCACTTATGGCCTGCAAGTCTCTATTTTACAGCTCCATCCTAGTTCTGTATCCATGAAGCCATAAGACTGTAGATATTTATTTTTGCATTATTCTTATCCATTAGATTAACTTTTCCATTTCACATGATGAAAATCTAAACAAAATAGTCAGCACTGATTGCTCTATGCTAAGGGTCATGCATTTATGAAGTCAATCTATTCCTCATAATAATAGTATGATGGGATCTTATTGTTATTCCAATTTTATAGATGAGGTAGTTTGGACACAGAGAGCTGAAGTCACCTTTGCACAACAAATTCCAGAATAATTGGCTACAAGGTCTGAAATTCTAACTAGTATATCATTTGGCCTCTATGAGAATGAACAGATGTCAACACATTTAAATATGACCAAAAAACCAAGAACAAGTTAGAAATAGAGTTGTGGAATCTTTGGTTGATTAACATGGGGTCTGTAACTGGATATCAGTCTTAGAGGAGTCCTCTTGCCAGCAAGCTTCGCTCCCAAGATTGTTTTCAATGTTGACTTGATCATTGTTGTAGTTTTGTTAGATGTTGTTCAGTTGGTTCCAGACTCACTCACTGCCTGGCACTGCGCATCCGTACCACTGTCTGTTGTTGCAGCCACTGTGTCCATCCGTCTTGTCAAGGCTCCTTTCCTTTCTCACTGCTCCTCGACTTTACCCAAGCATGACAGCCTTTTCTGGCAATTGATCTCACCTGATAACATGTTCAAAGTATGAGAGACGAAGACTCACCATCCTTGCTTTAGAGGAGGGCAGATTTATTTGTCCTTTTAGTACCTTCAATGTTGTTGGGGTTTTTGTTTTGTTTTGCCAGCACCATAATTCAAATGCATTGAATCTTCTTCTCTTTCTTGTTCAGTGTCCAAGTTTCACACACCATGTGAAACCAAGTTTCAAATACGGTGGTTTCGGTAAGGCTCAACTGAGTCCTTGAGTAATCTTGCTTTTCAACACTTTAAAGAGGTCTTGTGTGGTAGATTTACATAAAGTAATGTGTTATTTAAGCTCTTGCTTGCTGCTTCTAGATAATTGATTGCAAACTCAAACTCCACAAATTCCTTAACCACTTCCATCTTTTCTCCGTTTATCATGATACCTATTGGTTCAGATATGCCAGTAAGGACGCAGAAATGACCCATACAAACCAACCCTTCCCTCCTGACTTAAGCCTTATGCAAAATAAAAGTGGGTGGAGTTGGTGTCTCTATGTGTAAGCATAGCTTCCACTAGCACACAGAACCAGGCTATGGATAAAAGTACTTGGCTTCCTCTACCCCTTGAGTGGCTCAGCTGGGGGGGAGGGAGTGGAACTGCCGTTCAGACGAGCTCCTGGTTATCTTCAATACGTCCTGGAAGCTGTTAGCATTATTAAAAAGCTTGAAGGTGTGCTTAGATATTGCTCTGATTCGAATTAAAATGAAGGAATGTATGGTCAGGTAAAAACAAACAAACAAACAAACACCAGGGTTTCTCCAGAAATCTGAAGAAGCTGGTCCTCCTGGACAAGCCCACGGTGGTGGGTCCCAGCTGGCCCAATGCATGCCAGGTGCCATGGACCTGGTGCTGTGCTTTCTCTCAGGGCAGCAAGCAAGCAGGAGCGGTCGTGAGGAGAGAGGCATTGAGCTCTTGCCCAAATCTTACTTCCTCCACATCAGAAACCCGGTGTGCCATGGCAGAAACGACTTATAAAACAAACAGTAAAATGTCTCTGGTGCATCAGATGTCAATGATCAGAGCTCCAAATGGTCTGAGTTTAAAATAATCATGCACTGACTGTCCAAACTTTAGAGATGCTTTCCAATGCCTATAATACGTTGGCCTGCCAGCTGGGCTATCCCTGCTGGGTGTTTATTCTGAGACTTGTCCATGTGCTGCGTATGCTTGACTTATGCGCAGTGAAAGTCAGAGGGTGATGGCAATGTGACCGACACATGGACTCAGAGAATACAGATCTCACCAGAGGCGCAAGCAGCCTGTTTAACACATTTCTATGCTCGCAAATATCCATGGCTCAAAGACCGTTCTGGTTCAGATGTTTTTGCCTCTCAAATAAGCGAAAGCATCTGTTGGCATAATATTTACTTACTATCAAGGGGAGGCAGACATTGCTGTAAGGGTGATGTGGATGTCAGCTCACTGGAATGACACAACTCAATGATTGATGCCCACTCACAACGGTAACTGCGCTGCCAGTCTACTCCTAAACAGTACCTGCCTGAGTGGAATTCTAGAGAAAGTAGGCACACCCCGGCACCTCCTGGCTCCGGATTCCTTGGGAAGTGTGCTTTGGTTAAACAGCCTGTTTCACCGGCAGGCACACAGGAGTTGGCCATCCTCTCCCTGAGGTTCTTCAGCAGTAAGAGGTGGCTCCCTTGAAAGGCAATTTGGAAGTTGTCTACACCTGCCTCTGGTTCCACGACTCACTTCTTTCCCAGTATCACCCCCACTCTGCCTGCTGGCAATTGGATAAGACTTCAAAGCAGCCCTCCTGAGGAAACACCCCTGGAAGCTCTGAGACCCTTCTGAGAATTCTGTTCCCATCCTGTTTGGGAATCCCCTGCATTGCTGATCAAAATCACAGGCTTTGGGACCTCGCCGTCTACACCTTTTGAACCTGATTCTACATTGTATGTGTGCTCCTGGCTGACTCATGGGACATTAACATCTGAGAAGCCCTGCTTTGGCGGAAGCAGCAGAGAAAGGCAAGCAATCAGAGGGCTTTGTCATGATATCATTGAACGTTTTGTGCACTTATCTAGCCTCTCCTACATGTGTATCAAGAAGATGTGGTCACTCAAACTACTATTTGGCTATCACTTTAAACGTCCCAGTGAGCCCTGTCCTCAAGAACTTCAGAGTCTGGAAGAATAGACTACTAATAAATAAGTAAATAGCACAAAAATATTTTAAAAGGATGATGCCAACTCTGATGGGTAGACTGAAGAACAAGAAGTGGTGTTCAGTGATCCTGACTGGTTAAATTCAGGAAGTTTCAGAAATGACTTTTCCGGGGTCATTTGAAAAGTAAGTAGGAAGTGGTTTAGAAAATACTGAGATGAAGGTGTCCCAGACAGGGAAGGTACTTATGCGAGGAAAAGCTTGGGATGTTGGGGGATAAAACACTGTAGGAAGGCTGGGACAAAAGAAACCCTAAGGGAGATGGCTTGAAATGAGGCTCCAGGGTAAGCACGGGCTAGATGATGTGAAGCCTCCCAAGAACTCTGGGGTTTTTTCCTTTAGACAAAGACGGACAAAATACAACTCCTGCCTTTGAGGACATGCACGCGCACACTTACACATGTGCATACTCACAGCTTCCCTGCTGCCACATGGTTTTGAGTTCAGAAAGATGAACTTACAAGTAAGTGCCATTCAGGATAGCTGATAATCAAACATATGTTCAGTCAAAGAGAGAAGTAAGAAGATAGCACCATGGCTCTGCCTTGTGAGCTCCACAGAATTTCTATGGACAGAAACAAGAGTGGGAGGGAAGGGAACAGGAGTTAGACATGGAAAGGGCTACGTGGGCGGACTCCAGACCATGGAGACGCGTACCTAAGAGCAGTGCGTGGCCCGGCTTGTACAAGGGAAGCTAAAGAGAAAGCTTGGGCACTGGTGAAAAATCAGGAAGGAGGAGTCTCAAAAAAATGCTAGCCCTCCTGAAAGAGGGAGCTGTCTGGAGAGAACATAGAGTCTTGTGAACTCAGCACTAGCTATAGCCCCGTCTCACCCTTACATCCCACCTTAAAAAAGAGACCCTCGGGAACCGATTATAAGGATCTACTTATAACCTCCTCCTTGGGGGACAGACAACATAAAAATGGGTGAAGGGAGACGTCGGACAGGGCAAGATATGACAAAACAATAATTTATAAATTATCTAGGACTCACTCATGAGGGAGGGGGAGCGGGGAAGGAGGTCAAAAATGAGGAGCTGATGCCAGGTGCTTAAGTGGAGAGGAACTATTTTGAGAATGATGAGGGCAATGAATGTACAAGTGTGCTTTACACAATTGATGCGTGTATGGATGGTGACAAGAGCTGTACGAGCCCCTAATAAAATCATTAAAAAAAGACCCCCTCCCTGCAGCCTCAGGTGCAGTCTTAGATACCACACTGTATCTTAGATACCACAGTTGTTTATATATGTTTGGCCAGAGGTCAGAAGGAAAGCACTAAGGGTCAGGTTGACAGACATGATGATTAAGGCCCCACCTAGAGCCAGGTCGGTGGGAAGTGGGTGTGAGGCGAAGTGTGGCTCTCTAAGATCGTAAGTCCCTGTACCCCATTTCCTACTCTGAATCAATAAACAACTAGATATGAAAAGGACTTACGTCAGCTGCCTCCAGGGTACAATTGCCCTGGGTTCCAAAGAAAAACAATACAGCATAAGCTAAAAACACTG